TCTGAGAAATTTAACTTAGAAGATATATCAGAAAATCCATATGCTTCTTTACTTTGAATAGGTTTCTTTTCTTCACTTTCAGGTTTCTTTTCTTTTTTCTCTTCAACAACATCACTTTCATCCTCTTCTTCTTCACTATCGTCCTCTTCTTCTTCTTCTTCTTCCTGTTCTTCATTTGTATTTTCTTCATTACTTAACTCACATTCAAATGTTAAGTCTTCATCATTAATAACTTCAGTTTTTGATGTTTTACTTTTAATTGACTTCTTTTCTTCTTCTTCAGTATTATCTTCTTTCTTTGCTGACTCTTTTTCTCCTTCTAAGTTATTTTCATTTTTCTCTTCTTTGTCATCTTTAATAATCATGTCAACATCTGAAATATTTGGTTCTAAACTAATTCTTGATTTTTCTTTATTATTTGCTTGGTTCATTTCTTCTTGAGATTCTCCTTTCTTTGGTTCTTCTATTTTTTTCTTTTTAATAACAACTTCTTCATCAACAACAGCAACATCTTCTTTTTCTTTTCTTCTTACTACCTTTACGTTTTTCATTACAAAGAAATGAATCCACTTAAAAACACAATTATATATTTCATCTTTTAACATATGTAAATATGCATTTAATACAATAACTTCAAATGGCATAATTTTAATATATTGTTCAGAAATTTCAACATGTGTTTGCCTTGCTTGACATTGATCCATAATTTCTTCTCTAACAGCTTTAGCAAAAATTTCTGCAATACAATCAGTCATACAACTCATTAAATTTTTTCTTAAATGTTTTACCATTTTTTGTACTCCAAATTCAAATGATTCTTTAATAACTTCAGGAATATTTATTTCTTTTTTTCTTTTATTTAATGTTTTAAATGATAAATAGTCCATAGCTTTCCACCAAAACTTTTTTAATCCTCTATGAAGAATATCAGTCATTAATAAACAATGATCAGATATTGAAACAATCATATTAGTTAATGTATAAAAATAATCTTTTAATTGAATCTTTTCATCAGGAGATAATGCTTGGTATTCTGCTGTAATCTTTTTATCAATTTCATAAAAACATCTCCATACATCAAATTTACCATCTCTTTCAAATCTCCATAGGAAAATATATAATTCATCTTCCATTGTATCTATTCTTTTCTTACTAATATCTTCATCTTTTACCATTCCAACTTTTCGTGCCATCATTTCATTTAATACTGTAACAATATTTCTTACTTGGAAAAAACCAGTCATTCCTTCAATAATATGATCAAAACAAGTAAAAAATAATCTTAACTTCGTAAATGGTGGTGAAATATGACCAGCAATTTCACCCATTTGTTCATATAAAGATGGTGGGCAATCTTTAATAATTCTTTTCATATCATATAACTCTGTTTCAACATCATCAGAAATAACTGCACAATTTGGATCAACAAGTTCTTGTTGTAATGAATGACATACTTCTAATAATCCTTCAAAATGTCCATATAAATATTTAAAACAAGGTAACATTTCCTTTAATACAACATTAGTTGTAACATGAAATTCTTTAAGATATTCACTTATACTATCTTTAGCAGCATTTTGAACTGTATGAATATATCCCCAATATTCATCTAATAACATTTTCATATCAGAGAAGTTATTTAATGATAATTCAACTGCTTCAAAATCTTTTTGTATTTGGAACCAAAATTCACTAATATCTTCTGCTGTTGCTTTCATTACAATTCTTAAAAATTCAAGGAATTCTTGTTTATTTTTTGCATCAGGTCGTTTTACTGAATCATCTTCATAACAAACTTCAACTACAATATATTTGGTTAACCCTTCAACAGGATCATGATAAACAATATTATGAGTAAATGCACTAATTCGTTTCATTGCCCAATCAAACACATCTGAATATGCATCTTTTTCTGTAGCATGACCTAAGAATGTTCTTAACGTTTTAGAATGAGCAATTCTTTTTTCTTTTAATATAACTAACATATATTTTGTAAGTTGAGTTAATAAATCACTTGTATCTTCTTTAAATGCATCAGCTTTAGTAGGTAATTGTGCAGCAAGATTTTTTGGCTTTAATTCAGAATGAAGTTCTTCAAATTGATCAAATCTTTTATATACCATAGCAGTTTCACTTCCATATGTACTTCTAACAAGGAATACAGGTAAAGGATCATAATCTTTATCTAAAATACGTAAGTCATGTACACGAATAGCAATTTCTGTATTTTCTGGTGATGTTTCTGAAATAACACGGGCAGGTCTTTTACGTGGTTTAATTTTATTTCTTTTTTTTCCTTTAGCTTTTTTCTTTTCTTCTGATATTTCTTTTTGTTGTAAATCATATAATTTAACAAGGAATTTTTGTGCATGAAGTATTTCTAATTCTCCTTGAAATTGTGCTTTAATTTTATTACGAAGATTTTGTATACTTTCCCTTTGTTCTCTTGGAAGTAATTTCTCGTCTTTTACCATATTGTCCTTTTCTTATACAATTTTAGTTCAATAATTTTTCTTCTATTCTTTTTTTGTATTTAACTATTTTTATTTACTATATTCTTCTATTTTTTTATTATTTCTTTAAAATTTGTTTTATGTCTTAACTTGAAATCAAATTTTTTTTTTAAATAAAAATGAATATCCAAAAAAATTAATTTAGAAAAAAAAAACATTATTATAACAAAAATATAAAACAAAAAAAAAAGTAATTAAAAAATAATAAGAAAAAATCTAAAAATGATTGAGTCATGTTCTTCAAGGTTTTTTACTTTATCTTTTGTTTATAATGTTTTAATTCATTTGAACATTGATTTATTTTTTAGCTTATTTTATCATACACGATTCAAGTTACTCCTGAACACTTAAATGGAGGTATCGAAGACTATCTTGACAAATATATTTCCGAAACAACAGGATATAATAAAGATTATGAGTGTATTGTAATTTGTGTGTTAAATGTTTTAGAACATAAACCTATAAGAGTTTGATATTCATTTTAATTTTATAATCATTACTCAAAAAGTAGATTGCAGAAGGAACAGGGAATGTTGTCTTTTCAGTAAAGTTTGAAGCAATTGTTCAAAAAATTATCCGATCAGAAGTTGTTGATGGTATTATTTCTAGTGTTAATAAAGAAGGTGTTACTGTAGACGTAGGGTCATGGAAAAATATTCATGTCACAGCATCAAAAGTAGCTGATTGTGAATATGTTGAACAAAGTGGTTGTTATCGTGATAAAGATCGAACTTCTCAATATCAAATAAGAAAAGGTAGTCATGTCCGTGTCCGTTCAGATGTTGTTGATTATAACATCAATGGAAAAGTTTGTTTTTTATTTAATGATATTTTAATAAGAATAGATATTAATTATATTATAGAAATGTTTAGGGACTATTGAAAGATCTTTTTCATCTCATGACTGAGAAAATAACAAATTATTTGTGATATATGTTTTATATACAGTTTTTATATTCTGTTATTCATAAAAATAATCAAAACAGTTTCGTTGTTCCGAGGACAAAACTTAAATAGATACTATTTTAAATAATAAAAAAACTTATAACAAAAACTAAACAATTATGTTATTTTTGGTAATTTCCGTGAATATTTTTGAGATAAGAAAGAAAGAAGGAAGAGAGCGGGAGTTTTAAGAAAAAATAAATAAAAAAGAAAATCAAAAACTTGGAGAATAAAAATAGCAATGATAAGGAGACTTTTAAAAAACGGAAAAAACAAAAAGAAAAAAATAACATCTAATAATTTGAGATGAGTGAAGCAGAAGGGGTGAAGGTGAAGAAACAGAAGAAAGGATTATTTGATTTATTCTCTCGAATTAAACATACAACAAGTGAAGAAAAGAAAGAAAAGAAAGAGAAAAAAGAAAAAAGCAAAAAAGAAAAGAAAGAAGCAAAAGAAAAGAAATTAACTAGTGAAGAAACTTCAAAACTTCAACCTGTAGCCATTGCTAATCCAAAAGTAGCAGGGTATGCCACTGGTTCAATGGTTAATCTTTTAAAGAATATGCCTGATTGGAGAGATCAAACTAGAAAAGTAGTTGTTGAAGGGAATTTTGAAACATTTCCTATTGCTGGAGATTTACCGCGTTTATTAAAACATTTATCTATTGTACGTAAAACAAATGAAAATGAAATTTCTTGTTTATTCCCAGAAGATGGTAATAAAACTGATGGTAAAGTTAAAATTGTAGTTGATGTACAAGGAAATAAAGTTACAACAGGTGATTGTTTAAAAGTTATTCAATGTATTACTAAAATCTTTGATGAAAAACATTGTGAACGAGTAGAAAAAGAATGGAATGCTGTTATGGATAATTCAGAAGATCTTTCTGTACAAAAAACATTTTTAATGAGAGTATTAAAAAGTGTTTATGTTGACGAAGGATCAAATGAAGTATCTCCTGTTATTACATTTTTAAAAGCAATTAATCAAAAAATTATTGCAAGTTCTACTATGAAATTAAAAGCAGTATGTGGTAATTTGTTTATTAAAGATGCACGTTTGTTTTATTTATTTTATTTCATTTATTGTTTTTTTTAATACTTATTATTATTAGAACCAATGGTTTGGGAAATTGCAGTAATTCTTGATGGCGACAAAACTATTATTTCTCATTACAGAAGACAAGAAACTACATCAAAAAATTCAGAAGAATATTTTAGATTTTTATGGGAATTACGTTTAGTATTTAATAAAGAAATGACTCAATTACAAGAATTAAAAATGGGTATTAATGACATTGAATTTAATCCAAATACTATTTCATCTGTACGTGAAAAAGTTGAGTCAACACTAGAATCTCTTAAATTTGAAGATTGTGTTGTGTCTGATTTAGAAGATTCAAGTTCTGAAGAAGAATAAAAACTATTATTTTTCTCATTCATTTACTTTTTTTTTTGTTATTTTAACTTATTTTTTTTTTTGTTTTTTATTTCAAAAATTAATCAAAAAAAAGATAAGATAAAAAGAATAGAAACAATTTAATTAGCAACATTGTTTTGATGATTGTTGCTCAACATCAGGTTTTTCAAGACGAAGACTTGTTGATTGAGTTAAACGTAAATTTTCAACTACTTTATTATTAATAATTTCATTAGAAATAATTTTAATTGCTTTGTCAACATTAGACCCATTTAAACATGAAGTTTCAATAAAAAAAGCACCTAATTTTCTTGCAAGAGAAGCCCCAACATCAGTAGTAATATCTCTTTGTTGTTCAATATCTGACTTATTTCCAATAATTAAAACTGGGATAGGGTCACTAACAATATTTCTTAATTTGTTATACCATTTATCAACACTATTAAATGTGACTGCTTTAGTAATATCATAAACAATAATACATGCCTTTGCACCTTTAAAATAACTATCAGTAACAGCAGCAAATTTTTCTTGACCTGCAGTATCAAAAAAAGTAAGACAGATATTTTCTTCATTTATATTTATTGTTTTATTTTTTATATCAACTCCAATAGTTGGTTTTAATTCTTTATAAAATTCTCTATCAACATATCTTTTAACTAAAGACGTTTTCCCTACATTAGCATCACCAATAACAATAATTTTAAATACTATTGAATCATTGAAATCATTCATGGATGTTTAATATGAAAGTTTTTTAGTAATTCGAGTTTTTTATATTTTTTTTATAACAAAAACTATGAATAATCATTTTAAATGGACTCTTCATTCTCAGACCTCAACTCAAATAATAAAACTCCACACATAGACTCAAATAATACCACTTTGGCTGTTAATTGTTTTAATTATGAAACTCTTGATTTCCTTAATCATGTTCTGGATTACTCAAACTCTTTTCTAATAAATTCAACTCTTGCATTAGATAATATTGGTTTGATAATTCTTTATTTCTTATTTCTTGTATATTCATCCTTTAGAAAATACTCTTAGTCTTTTGGAAATGAAATTAAATTCAATTGAAACAAGTGAATGTACAAATGACCCTTCTTCAACACCAGTTCAACCTAATGAACCAGCAACCATACCTCCTATTGTATCACTTGATTCTATTCCCCCACCTCCACCACCTCCAGCATTATAAAATACTAAAAAAAACTAAGTCATTTTATTAACCAAAAACATTTCTTAATTATTTATTTCTTATATGGACCTTCAAATCCTTCAAAATCACATAATAAAAATAAAGGATAATATGAATATTTTTCAATCATTGAACACCAATTCCATGCTGAAGTTAACCTTCCATCAATACAACTTCCTCCATCTGACCCACTTCCATCAAATGCATGTTGAAAGAAGTGTTGAAGAATACATCGTCCCCAATTTCTTGAACTATAAGTTTCAAAATACGTTGGTACTCGTTTTAATTCTTTATGACTAAACATACGTCTTGTTGTACGAAGAACTGGTGAAAGAATCCATGGTACTTGTGAATATTTGTCAATAAAAAATAAACAATTTGGTACATCTCTATCTCCTAAATGAACTACACTTAACCCTCTCCACTCTTTTCCTTCACACATAGTACTTTGTGTTTGACTAAGAATTTGATGAATAGCAGAAGAAACATTTGGACATTGTTGTAATCTTTGTAAACCTTGTCCAGTATTAACTAAACTATAACTTCTTCCACTTAAAAAGTCTTTATCATTCATTATCCATAACAATGACATATGTCTCATAACATTCCACCATAGTCTTAGACTTTGTTGAACAAATAAAAAATGTTCAGAATGACTTTGTGTTAGTCTTGACCCATCTTTTCCAAATTGAATTTCTAATGAAAGAGTAGTATTCTCTTTATCTCTAAATCGTTCTAATTGTTTTAACATACCAAATACAACTCCACATGTTTTTGCTGATGCTTCAATTCCATCTCTAATTGAATATACAATACGAAGACCATGTTCTCCATATTGTTTTTCAATTTCTTCTAAAGTTAATCCTTCTTCTCTCAGTTTAATACATTTCATAATATCTTCTATTTTCATATTACATTCTTTCATTCCCATTTCAACAGTATAAATAGGTTTCCAGTTTTTATTCTTTACAAATTCTTTACCAATAAATTTAGGATTATAATTTATAGCATCTTGTAAAATATGCATCATTTTTTGATATGTTTCTCTCATCATAGATGGATTTGCTGCTTTATATCTTCTTCCAACTTCAAAACAATCTTGCATAAATACTTCTTCTAATGTTTTATCTTTTAATATTTTTAATCCCTCTTTTAAGTTATTGGTAACCAATATTCCAAGTAATGTACTTTTAAATTCATTATGCTCTTTTATTATTAATTCTTCTTTTTTTATTTCATTAACACTAATGTCTCTTTTTCCACAATAATATCCATAATATTCATAATCAGATTTAGCAATATCAACATTATTTGTATATTCACTAACATCTAATGCTGCTTCTAATACATCTAAATATCCTCTTTCTTTTTCTGTTAATCTCATAGGAATATATCTTATTAATTGATAAATTTCTTCTTCATTTAAAGACATTAAATAATCATAATATCGTTCTTTTAAATGTTCTTTTGTTAACTGTGTTGTTTCTTCAATATTTTGTACTTCTTTTTCATTTTTAATTACCGTAGTTGTTTGTTCTTTGGAGTAATGTAAACTTTCTCCTTTAACTTTCATTATTCTTTGTTGGCTATGATATTCATTTGTTTTAACATGATACATTACTGGTGAACTTGGTTTTGAATGAGTTCCAAATAAAAGAGAAAATAATCCATGTGATTTGTTGTCTTTCTTTTTCTTTATTAAATCATCAAGTGATCCACTTTGTGGTTTTTTCTTTATTTTCTCCATTTTCAATTGAAATGATTTTTGAGTTCTGTGAGGTATCACCAAGCATTCTTAACTCTAACCACTTTCAGCCTTTAAATAACTATCTCATCTTTTCTTTTAACAAGATAAATTAATTTCTGTTTTATATATCATTTTTTGTTTTTTATTTTTTAAGGTTTGTAAAAAACGAAGATATAATAAAATATAATAAAATTAATTAGAATGAGATCTAAAAAAATGAACTAACCCTTTGCAATCAGCATGTCAGCCGTAAAAGCCGCTGGTAAAACCCAAAAGAAACACACTGAGGCTCTTAAGAGCGTTCAAGTTTTCGGAAAGAAAAAGACTGCCATTGCTGTCTGTCTTTGCAAAGAAGGAAAAGGTATGATTAGAGTTAATGGTGTTCCACTTGATCTTATCAACCCACCAGTATTAAGAATTAAAGTTTTTGAACCATTATTCATTGTTGGTAAAGAAAACTATGCTAAATTAGACCTTAAAATCAGAGTCACTGGTGGTGGACAAGTTGCTCAAGCTTATGCCATTAGACAAGCCATTGCTAAAGCCCTTATTGCTTACAACCAAAAGTTTGTTGATGAAACTACAAAGAATGAACTTAAAGCTAAATTCCTTGAATATGATAGAACTCTCCTTGTTGCTGATCCAAGAAGATGTGAAGCTAAGAAATTCGGAGGACCAGGAGCTCGTGCTAAATACCAAAAATCATACAGATGAGCTATTTCAAATTGATAAGTTCTTAATTGTTATAAAATTGGTTTATTTCTTTCTTTGCATAATTATTTTTGTTATCAATAGTCTGATTTTATTTAATAGACTTATTCTTCTTTTTTCATCTTATAACAAATAATTAAAAACAAGTTGAGGTTGTACTTGAATGATATTCTTTTTATTGAATGTGTCTTATCATCAATAAATAAATGATAAAAAAAAGTTAAAAGGATAATTAAGTTTATTTCTTTCCACCTTTCTTTTGCTTTTTCTTACGTTGATATAATGGAATCCAACGTTCTGGATCAATTGTTTTAGGATCTACTTTACCATGCTTTTTAATCATTTTTCTTTGTCTTCTTCTTTGTCTTTTCTCTTTACGTTTTTGTAATGCTTTAAGTTTACTATCATCTTCATCTAATTGATTTTCATTTTTATTATCAACAGTAATGTGATTGGTTAATGCAGAAGATCCCAATGCTTTATTGAAATAAGATTCAGCTTTGGTAATTTCTCCTTTTCTTAGCATAATTAAAGCAGCATTTCCATAAGTCTCACTGACATAATCAGATGTTTTAGTACCAAGAAGAGATGAATCAATTGATGGATCAGAAACAATACAAGCAGCCAAATTAGTTAAAATTCCAGTTTTAGGTTGTTTAGTAGTTTCTAATACTTCAGTATAAATTTTTGCAGCTTCATTAAATTTTCCTTGTTTCTGAAGTATTTGAGCTTTTAACACTTTATCCTTTTCTTCTGAACCAAGTAAAGAAAGTGCTTCATCATACTTTTCAATATTATACTTAGCTAATGCTAATTCAAAATTCATTCCATTTTGTTTCATTGTTTCTTCAAATTGCATAACATCTTTTCCTAATTTAATTGATGAAATAATTAAAATTTTAAAGACATTAACATCGTTTTGTTTTTGTGAATATACTATCATCTCAATTATTTTCTTTCTTAATAAAATTATAAATTCTATAATAGAAATTCATTATTAAGTTATTAATTATTTATATAAAACAAACATTCATTTGATATTTTATAAATTTCATTTAAGTCTTCTTTTTTGTTTTGTTGAATAAGTTTCTTTAACTCCTCCATGACTTGCTTTTTACTTCTTTTTAAGTTCCATGTTATAAAGACAAAGAATTATCTATTAATTATAATATATTTTCTAATAAAAATAATAAAACTAAAAAATGTCAAATCAAATGAAATTATGGGTTGTATGGATCATTCTTGTCTTCTGATGATTGTTCTTCATCACCTCCTTTAACACAAGATAAAACTACAACAACAATGGCATAAATGGAAACAAGCCAAATAATAATACTAGTGAAAAGACCAAAGAATCCAACGTAGAAGAGAGTAATAATACCAGTAACAATCAACCATGCAATAGTAACTGGAGCATTCCAGAAATTAATATATTGTTTAGCAACTGGGATAAACATAGCCCATGGAGAAATAATCATATAAATACCATTAACCATTAGTAATAATGCAACAAATCCACAAATTACAGAAGCATTTGATTTAACACCATGAATTGACCAATTAGACCAGCCCCACTTACAAAGATGGATTAATCCACAAAGTATTACTAATAAACCACAAAAAGCATAAAGCCCTCGAAGAATGAGAGTTAAATTAATTTTAATCATTAAATTATTATTTCTAAGTTCTTTCTATTAGTTTTTTCTTTCTTTTTTATTTCTTTTTACTAAAAATTGAGAGTTTTCATTTGTCATTAAACTTCTTCTATCGCTCTTTTTCTATTTTAAAATTTTTGTTTTTTTTTTTAGAAAATAATAAATAACAAAAACAAAAATGAAAGAAAACACTTTTGTTAATAATCTAACTTGAATATTCTCTTAAAACATTCATTCATATTTAATGTTAAAAATATTTCTGCAAGGACTTGAAGAAGATCTGGGATATGATGCATAAATATTTTGTATAATGCAAAATCTAATGAAATATTTGTTATACGAAGAACTAATAACAAAATAAATTTTAAAACAAAGATGGTAAATATTATTACTGTTGATACAATGAACTAAGTGATGAAAATGAGATATAAAACTATAAAAAGTAAAGAAAAAGATAACAAACACAATACAAGAATAATAAATAAATCTTCCCTAATAAACTTTCATGATTTACTTTCATTTTTCTATTATAACGAATAAACCATATTAACACAGCAATTAATACACAAATAACAACAAATGTTTCTGTGTTAATGAATATTAAGTTAATTATACAAATATAAAATAAAAGTTATATTAAAACAAACGGAAGAGATTGAGAAAAGAAATAGCATTAGATATATTTGAATATACAATTGACTAAAAGATATGAGAACATAAATAACAAGAACATTTAATAACAACAAACAGTACAATCACCTGACAATATAGTAAATGAAACTGAAAGAGATATAGAAATAATATCATATAATATCATTGCTAATAATATAAAATAAGGTGCTTTTAAACTATTCCATGCTGTTTTAACACCATAAGTTACATTTTTGAAATAACCATTTCCCCAAACACAATATGACATAAATAAAGATAAAATATGAACTATATCACAAAATCGTTGTAATAAATAAATAACACATCCTTGAGTAGTAGAATAAGCATATAAACATAAACAACAAGTTTGGCCTATGTATCAATATTTTAAATTACTTGAAAATAAACGTTTTTATAACAAACATATTAAAAAAATTATTTCAATCAAAACAAAAATACTAAACGTTTTTGTAAATGGAGGATGTATATAGTTCCAATACACTTCAAATACAATTACAATTAATAGAACTAAATACCAAATAACAGAAAAATAAGCTAGAGGAGGATTAGGAAGATCGTTATTCATCCAAATAATTCTAAGTTCTTTTACTTCTTTAATTCAGAAAAAAAAAATGAAAAACAAAAAATAATATTACTTTAATAACACAAATTTATTTATTAATAAAGATTCCTTATTGATTTTTTATATTAATTTTTTCATTTTCATTGTACTGAATTTAATATTATCACTCATTTGTTGATTTATTTCTTATAGAATTATTCTTATACATTTGTTTCATATGTTATTTGTTTTATTTCTTATTTTTGGTTTATTCTTTTCTGTTATAATACTAATTATTTCATTAACTACATTGTTCTGTTTAATACATAAAATTATATTTAATTCATTTCTGTCTTTTTCTGTTATTTCATTATTAACATACAGTCTGTGTTTTTAAAATTAATTTTTTGAAGTAAAATTTTAACTTTTTTATATATATTCTTTCATTTATTGTTTTATTCAATAGTTCTAAAACACCAGGGATTAACAGTTATTTGGTTTATTTCATAAACATTATATATATTTGTTTCATAGTTATTACCATTGTTTGTTTTTCATATTATTTTTTGTCATGAATAAATCACTTAATAATCCATTTACTCTCAAATAAATTTATTCTTCAATTATTTCTTACTATAATACTTATATTGTAAATATTAATTTTATGTTTCTTATTATTATAAAAATATTTCTTTGAGTAATAACTATTTTAGTATTGTTCAATACAACAATACCCTTTTATTTTAATTCATTTCATTTATTTTATCTAATTCTTATTATTGATTATTGTATCTTTTGTTATGTCGTTAGTAGTTTCCTTTGTAATTACTTTCTTTTTACCTCTTCTACTAATCCTATTTTTCCTTCTTCTTATTATTTTTTTATTATTCTTTCCATTATTTTATTCTTTATCACTCTTTATACTGTATTTTTTCATCATTATAACTTGTTTTTGTTTTATATTTTTTATTATAGTTTTTGAGTAAATTTTTATTGTTTTGATTAATTTACTTCCAATGTCTGTTTATTTATTCTATTCTATATATTCTTTTTTCATTAGTGTCTTTGATTTATTATCATAAACTTTATTTTTCTTCACGTCTAAATAACATTACCATTAATTTCTTTTTCTTTATGAATAAGTTTTACATCAACCCTCATTATTCAATACTATAATATTCATTGCTTCTTATATTTATTTTATTTTATTCTCTTTATATTGACTCATATCATCATCTTCTGAACTTATTACATTTCATAATATTTCTGATAATAATATTCATATATTCAATTTATTTTTGAAAAAAAAATAAATAACAAAAAACACAAACTAATTTGTATTTAGAATTAAAATAAATGATTTGTGGGATATGTTCATCAACAGTTGTCTTGATAATAATCTTTTGTGCACTTTTCTTCATCAAGTAATGTAGACATTCCTGCTAACAAAGCAGCACCTGTCCAAGCTAAGTACTTTCTGTTTTGTAATGCCGATATCTTAACATCTCTTGGATTCATCTTATTTTCAGTACAAAGTTGTTTAAGTTCTTTTTCAAGTCTTTCTGGTAATCCAGGGAATAATGTTGACCCACCAGATAAAATAATATGATTTAACAATGGTCTTCTTGAAGTTAGTGGACATTTTTTAATTGTGGAAAATAACATTGAAGGAACTCCTTCAGCATCTATTCCTACTTTCTCAGGTTGGAATAAAGCCTCTGGACATTGGAATCGTTCTTGGAAGAACTTTGAAGTATTTTCATTGCCTGGAACTTGAAACTCTTTCATGACATCCTTTGCTTTCTTTTTCATTTCTGCATCATAGTCCAAAGCGACATAACACACACTCTCTTTAATTGCTCTTACTAATTCCATTTGTGCAGATGTAGTGTAGATATAACCACAAGCCCTTAATAAACGAGACATATACTCTGTTAGTCCAGAGACATTACCTTTAATTTTAGTAATAGCACTATCAATAACATACCCATCAACAGCTGGTACTATTTGCATTCTATTACCAATTTCAACTACAACTCCTGTTTCTTTACCTTCTGCATACAACGCCATTAATGCTGGATTAACTATTTTTAAAAATGGAACATTCAAATCATTAAACATCATAGATTTGATTTTATCTGTTGCTACCTCATTCATGTTCGGTAATTCTGTCATAACAACTGGATGAGAAGCTGGATCACATCCATCTAACTCATTCTCATAAATATTTTGAATAATAGCAAGTAACCCATCCCAATCAGTGTCTTTTCTTGGATCAAGAGGCCATACCAATCCCTCATCTTCGTCAATTGCTTTATATCCAAATTCTTTTCTTTCTCCTCCTTCATAGTCTTCATCTTCTATTGTACAATAACACGTTGGAATAACTTTTCTTGGTTGTTCTTCTCCTGCAACCCCAACTTTGATAAATGAACTTCCACAATCAAATACTAATACTGCATCATCAGCAATCTTACTTAACATTGCATTTGCTTTTTCTTCATTTTCGTGTGTGAAAAATGCTGATTGTGAAATCATAATTTTCTTCTTTTGTCTTTTTCGTTTCTTCTTCTCACCTACTTGTTCAACTTCTGTTACAGTCTCTTCTTGTGGTGCATTCACTCCCAATGGAGGCAATCCTCCTAATCCACCCATTGGTGGTAATCCTCCTAATCCGCCCATTGGTGGAAGTCCTCCTAGTCCACCCATTGGTGGTAATCCTCCTAATCCTGGCTGTGCTCCAAGTCCTAATCCTAATCCAGCTGGTTGTGTTCCTAATCCTCCTCCAAGTCCTAATCCTGGTTGTGCTCCAAGTCCCAATCCTAATCCAGCTGGTTGCATTCCAATTCCAGGCTGTCCTCCAAGTCCTAATCCCATGGTTGGTCTTGAATTTACCCCAAGTCCTAATCCTAATCCAGCTGGTTGTGTTCCTAATCCTCCTCCAAGTCCTAATCCTGGTTGTGCTCTTGGAGTCGAACTTAGTCCTAATCCTACTGGTTGTGAAGCTAATCCTGGTTGTGAAGCTAATCCTGGTTGTGAAGCTAATCCTAAGTGAGCTGATTGTCCAATTCCATTAGGCTTACAAGTGTTAAGTGTTTTGGCTTCTTCCTCTTCTGCTTTCTTTTTAGCTTCTTCCTCTGCTTTCTGTTTAGCTTCTTCCTCTGCTCTTTGTTTAGCCTCCTCTTCTGCTTTCTGTTTAGCTTCTTCTTCTGCTTTCTGTTTAGCTTCTTCTTCTGCTTTCTTTTTCTTTTCTTCCTCTTCTGCTTTCTTTTTAGCCTCTTCCTCTTCTGCTTTCTTTTTAGCTTCTTCTGCTTTCTGTTTAGCCTCTTCCTCTGCTTTTTGTTTAGCTTCTTCCTCTGCTTTCTGTTTAGCTTCTTCCTCTGCTTTCTTTTTCTTTTCTTCCTCTTCTGCTTTCTGTTTAGCCTCTTCCTCTGCTTTTTGTTTAGCTTCTTCTTCTGCTTTCTGTTTAGCTTCTTCCTCTTCTGCTTTCTGTTTAGCTTCTTCCTCTTCTGCTTTCTTTTTCTTTTCTTCCTCTTCTGCTTTCTGTTTAGCCTCTTCCTCTGCTTTTTGTTTAGCTTCTTCCTCTGCTTTCTGTTTAGCTTCTTCCTCTGCTTTCTGTTTAGCTTCTTCCTCTGCTTTTTGTTTAGCCTCTTCCTCTGCTTTTTGTCTGGCTTCTTCTGCTTTCTTTTTCTTTTCTTCTTCCTCTGCTTTTTGTCTATCCTCTTCTTCTGCTTTCTTTTTCTTTTCTTCCTCTGCTTTCTTCAATTTTTTATCATTTTCATCTTTTTCTTCATGTTTTTTATCATCATGTTTGTGATCACGGTGTTTCTTTTCTTCTTCTTTCCTTTTCTTTTCTTCCTCTTTCTTTCTTTTTTCTTCCTCTTTTTTTTTCTTTTCTTCTTCTTTTTTCTTTTTCTTTTCTTCCTCTTTTTTTTTCTTTTCTTCTTCTTTCTTTCTTTTTTCTTCCTCTTTTAATTTCTTTTTGTCCTCCTTTGTCTTCCCACTCATCTGAATTTTTTAGTTTCTCATCTCTTTTTCACTTTTTTTCATTTTCTTCACAGTTCACTATATTTAGTATGTTTTACAGTTCTTTGGTAGACGATTTTCTTTCATATTTTCATAGTTGAAGAAAGAACAATACTATTGTTTAATCTTCTGTATTATTTATTTTTGGGTTTATGTTTAAAGTTGAAGAAATTAATTAATTGAAGGTGGAAAAAGTAAATAATTTGATTATTGAATCAAGTATTAGAACATCAATTAATGGGAAAAAACAAAAACAAGTTAATAATTAAACTAGAAAAGTTATATTTGATTTAATGAATTGGTCAATAATCTTTCTATGTATTTGTATTATTGCATTATTAATTTTGACATTATGCTTAATTGAGCAAGGGAATGGATTAGAGAATAATAGTATATTAGGTAAAACTTATCAATTTTTAGTATCAGATGATGGTTTAGTGTTTGTTAATAATAATAATAAGGAATTAATAATTTAATGAATGTGCTAATGAATAGAAGATATGTTCGATTATTATTTGGAGGAAAACAATGGGGAATGATAAAGAATTTTTATAATAAAATATTATATAAAAAGAGTCATTTATTACAAATTGTTTATTTAGCTATGATAGGTGTATGTGATGTATTGTTAATAAGAGATGTTTTTCATTCGTTGCCACAAGAATATTTTATTTTCTTTCATATCAATTTAATTCTAACAATAATATTTTTCTTTATTGCAAGTGTTTCAAATCCTGGATATATTAATCAGTATAATGTAAAAGAGTATATTAAGAAATACCCATTTGATAATATTATCTTTTATCGTAGGAAATGTTCTACATGTTTATTAATGAAGTTTGTTCTTATTAAATTTATTTTATTATTAATTTAATTAATAATATAGACCATCACGTTCTCATCATTGTAATATTTGTAATAGATGTATTGCAAAATATGAACATCATTGTTGTTGGATTAATAATTGTATTGGTGAATTAAATTGTAGATATTTCATTATATTTTTAATTGTAACAACAATGTTATGTTATCATAGTTGTTTCTTATCTTTTTCAGTAGTATCAAAAGTAATAACTCAATATGACCTTCTTAATATTGACTCATATCATTTAACAAATGAACAGTCATTAACAATTCTTTTTAATGAAACTGGGAGTGCATTATTTGTAGGATTATTTTCTTTATTTTCAGGGGTAATATTAAGTTTATTTACATTATATCATATAATAATGATTTCTCGTGGAATAACAACCAACGAGAAATTTAAATGGAAAATGTTACAAAGTCGTGATAGTACAATTCAATATAAAAATAAATATGATTTAGGTGTTATAGAGAATATATTTTGTGTGTTAGTTCCATCCAGAAAACCACAATATACATTTAAATAATTATTTATAATCAACTTTTTATGGGATTTTTTTTTCTTTTTCAAAAGAACTTATAAGTCAGTAATTAATTTGATGAAAGATTTACTTTATATGTATGAAAAAGATAATCCTATTATTGAAGATGAAACATATGAAAATAATATTAATTTAAATAGTTATTTTAAAAATCAATATAAAGTTAAATTATTAATTAAATTAGTATTACTTATTTCAATTATTGTTTCTATTATGTTTGGAATAATTCGAGTAATTACTCTTAGAAGATCATATACATGTAATAGTCGTTATTCAACATTTTTTATTGAAACAATACCACCACCAAATATTGAAATAACTAATACTACACAATTTTATACCTTTATTGATCCAACATTTAAATTAGAATTTAATGGAACATTTATAGAAAAAGATAATTCCAGGTTTTTTGGAGGAAAAATAATATATCCTGAAGTTACTCTTAATGATTCAAGATTTAGTTTAAAAGCACAATTTGATCATTGTGATTATCAAGTTTTTTATAAACATTATATTCTTTGTCATACTCTTCGTTTAAGATTTTCTTTAAATTCTGTAAATATAAGTACTATTAAACCTTATCCTATTACTATTTCAATAAAAGACCCTGACCCATCATATTCAATGTATTTTACTGATTCATTTGATTGTGGTTGTAAAAGTAATTTTACAATGGTTTTAATTCCATTAAATAATCAAACAACATTTTATGCAAAAACAAAACCAACAGTTATTTGTGATAATTCAAGTAATATTAATGAACAACAAAAATTTATAAATTTAACACTTCAAACATTTGAAACAGAAAATAATTTTTATCCTTTTATTCAACAAAATCTTACAATTCTTAATCAAACAAAAATATTTAATCCTATTATTATTGAAACAGAAATAGATAATAATAATCTTACTCATATTTCATCTAAAGAACTTAATGTAACTTCAACTCAATTATTTGGTGATACTCAAATATTTGAAATTATTGTTGGACAAAATGGAACTATTGGATATATTACATTTTATAATAAAGTTACTTATCAATGTTATCTTGAAAGAAATAAAGTCTTTCATTTTATTGCAATTCCTTTTGTATTTGATAAAATTAAAAATAAGATACCAAGTGCTTTTGTAGCATCTGGTATTTATAATAATCATTTTGATAATATAAATATTTCTATTCTTAAATCAAATTTATATAAAACAACTTTTAGTATTCATGGTTCTTTTATTTTTTATCACGAATTATTACCACAAATATTTATTAACGATAAAAATACTTCTATTGTTAATATTATTGAACCTTCAATTCTTAATTTTAACCAATTTCTTAATTACGAAACTGGGTTGGTTGGAAGTAAAGAATTTATTGTTGAAATTAGAGGATATTGTGATTTAAATGAAATTAAAAAAATTACTATTATTATTCCTGAATGTTCTAATTGTCAATTAATAAAATATTTTTAATTTATTCATTATTATTAAAATAAAATTAAAAATGAATAATATAAGTACTACTTCGTAATATTAAAAAGAATTTTATTTATTATGAGTATTATTCTTAATTTCTTATTTAAATTACAATCTTTTTTTTTTTTGATAAATTTTATATTTTTCATTTTATAATAGTATCAAAAGTTGTATTTAACAGAAATATAATGTATTTATTTGTTTAAAATATTCAGTTTCTGTATTATATAACTAATTTCTTTTTATATTTTTGTTTTTTAAAAGTACTTAATTTGATTCTTTTCAAATACAAAAAAGTATTAGTTTTTTAATTCAACAATCATTAAAAATTTTTTTGGGATATTATAAAATATTTTTCTTTGGAATTAATAATCGTTTCAATAATAATAACTACCTCCTTATTTCTTTTTTTACCATTTAAAGATTTCTTAAAGAAATTAAAAAGAAATATTTCTATTAAATTAATAAATTATCAAAAACAAGTTATTTTTTATTCTGAGGGATATTTTTATGATATTCAAGAATATTAAGAGTTAGCTATTTCAATTTTTAAAGTACGATAATACATAACTAAAAATTATAAACATATTTAAAAATGAATAATAATTATTATTTCAATAATTAATGAAAAGATATTAAGAGTTTTTTTTCCTTATGATTGAAATAAAAAACAAAAATTTTTTTGACTATTCATTTATTTCCTTATTTAAAGAAAAAAATAAGAAAAAAAATGAAACAATACATGAAGAAGTCAAAACCAAAAAAAGATGAAAAAATTTGATATTATTTTTCATAAATAAAATAAAAAAAATAAAAAAAAAACTTAAAAACAATTACTTAATGAAGAGAAACTGTGATCATTGTTTATCTCTTATTTCAACCTTTGCTAATCAAATTCGATCGATTCGAGGGATTGTAGTTTGTAAAGAAATTATTTTAAAAAAAATACTTAATATTCATTATACTCATTCTAATAGTTAGAAAATGGAACAATAAACGATGCTCAACCTCATATAGATCTTATAAATCAATCATCTATTGACTTACAAAAAACTATTAGCCAAATTGATTGTTTCTTTTCTACTGATGATATTTTAGAAATATATGACACAATTGTTGCTACAGCAGATGACTTTTATCATTCATTAGAAGAATTAATTCAAGTAGCAACATTATCACTTACAGGTAATGACAGTCAAGCAAAATTACAATTTAGTGAATTAATTAGAAATGTAACTAAATTCTTATATGGACTAAGAGAAGGATTAGGACAATTACTTAAAAAAATACCTGAAATGAGAATGGCAGTATTAAAACCAAAATTACGAGGAGACTTTTCTTCTATTATAGAATTCTTAGGTAATATTAATCTTCATCTTATTAATAAAGAATATTCTTCAAATAATCAAGATATTATTCATTGTAAAGAAAAATTACTTTCATTGTGTTCAATTGCTGTTGAAGAAGGTGCATCAGAGGAAGATAAAAAGGGAGTTATTTTATGTTTTAAAGAATTTGTTGGTGCATTATTAGAATTAAAAAATAAAGAAACTCCAACTCAAAATGATATTAAAAAAGTGACTTCTTTTATGGAATTATTTAAAAGAGCTATTCGTAGTATGGCAATGGGACATGTTGTTACATTAAAATCATTTGATTTAAATAAACAAAAAGAAGAAGAACTTCAAAAAAAGAGAGATGCTATGGCTCAAGAGGATATAGAAAGAATAAGAGAAGCAGAAATTAATAAAAAAAGAAGAGAAGAAGAATCAAAAATACTCCAACAAGAAATTGAAGAAACTAAAAGAAAAGGTGAAGAAGGAAAGAAAGAAATAAAAGAACAACAACGTCTTTTACAAGAACAAATGAGACAAGGAGAAATTAGAGAAGAAGAACTTAAAGACAAAGAAAAAGAATTATCAAAGCAAATACAAAAATGTAGTCAAGAATTAGATGAAATAACCACAAAATATATTATTGAAAAAGAGGAATATGAAAAAATGATTATTCAAGAAAAACAAGTTCAACAAAGTTCGTTAAAAGTTCAAGAAAATAAAGAAAGTTTCGATGATTTAGAACGTAAAAAACAACAAATGTTGTTAGAAAAAGAGCAATTAAAAACAAAGTTACAACGACTGAGAGGAAGTAAAATAACTGTTAAAAAATTATCAAATGAAGTTAAAGGTGATTTAGCTAAAACTGCTAAAAGACAAAGAATTCTTTCTAAAGAATATCCATCTAAACAATTGTCAGCTGTAGAAATGAGAAAACAATTAGAAATTGATAAAACTGCAAGAGAATTAGTACAGATGTCAGATGAAAATCAACCAACAATTATCGAAATCGCTCAAAAACTACAAACATTATCAGAAACATTAGATTTAGATAATATTGAAGAAAGTACTGATGTTTATCAAATTTTAAAACAAACAGATTTTAATTCAATTGCCCTTAGAATTACTTCACCAAAATTTAGAATATCATCATCTATTTCATATATTGGACATTTTGTTTCTGATGATGAATATGATCCAGAAAATAAAGAAGTAACTAAAATGATTGAAGATTATGAAAAAGAAGCATTTTATAGTTTAGCTGAAAAAGCTTCTGATATTGCTACAACAGCAGAAGACATGATGTGTTTTGGATCATTATCTGTTGTTGCTGATTGTAAAGAATCAACTGATGATTATTTAAGTGATTTAGCAGGAAGTTGTAAATTAACACAAAAAGCAGTAATTACATTTATGGAGGCTATTCCATCAATTTATAAACATGGATCTGAATGTAAAGGTGATGAAGGATTAATACAAAAATATGTTGAATGTTTAGTAAAAATTCCAGTTAATTCAGGTTCTATTACAGAAAAGAAAGAAACAATTGAATTTACATATTTTTATGAACAAATTATTGAAAGATTAAAAAGACAAGAATTTAAACCTGTTATTAAACAAAAATATATTGAAGCTAGCTTAGGATTAGTTGCTAGTGTTAGTCGTAAATATATTTATCAAATCATTAGTACTAATACAAAAAAAATTAAGTCTATTGTTGGACAATTCTTAGCAATGTCTAAATGTATTTCACATTTAAAACCTAAAGATTTTAAATACCTTCAAAATACTAAAAAATTTGATTCGAAAGAATTTGAAAAAGATTGTGATAAAGCTGATAAAGATTCTAAAGAACAATTCCAAAAAGAATTATTTTATAATGTAAATATGCAAAGAGGATATGACCTTGAAATTCTTTATATGTTAGAAATTGCTGCACTTGCAATTGATTTAATTAATACTATTCAAGACTTTATTGATGCTGTTTATACAGTAATTGCTTTTAATGAAAAAGAAGATAAATTAGATGTTATGGATGACTCATCTCCTGTAGCTGATGAAATTATTTCTGAAACAAAATTAATAAAAGTAAAAGATGATCGTGTAATTTGTTCTTCATTAAACCAAATGATTTATAGATTTGTAACAAGTTATGAATCATTTAGAGAACAATTTTTCCAAACATATCAATCCTTTACTAAAAGCTCAATTGTATTATCAAAAATTGTATCAATGTATCTTGGAAATAATTCTCTACAAGAACAAGTAAGGACTCAATCATTAATTGCAATTAAACATTTTGTTGATGAATGCTTTAATGATTTAGACTCAAGGTCTATTGTTATTGTAAAGAAGTTTATAAATGAATTAAAACATAGAAATGAAGAAAAAAATGTACAAGCACTCAATGCTGTGTTATTAAGAAAAGAAACAGAATTAAAACATTTTATTGCTGAAAGTCTTGTTCCACCAATAGACTTCTTTATACCACAAGAGGCTGTTTCACCATCAATGTTAATTCAGTTATCTGATAGTGGAGAAGTTGCTCGACAATTAACATTAATTGCTTCTAAAATATTTAACAAAATTGGTCGTCAAGAATTCTTCAATAAATCTTGGAGTGATGAATCTTTATTCCCACAATCAGTTAATGTCATAAGAATGTTACGACATTCTGATACTGTTCGTGACTGGGTAATTAGTTCTATTTTATCTTTCTTTTCTACAGAGAATAGAGTAAAAGCTACTATTCATTTCATTCAAATCGGTGACTATTTAATGAAACTAAATAATTTCCAATCACTGTATGGTATTGTTCAAGCTCTTGGACCAAATGGTTGTATTTCTAGATTACAAGTTATGGATAGTATTCCATCAAAATACGCTAAGTTATATCATCAACTAAAGAAAGCAGTGCATGATAAAAATGATTACAAGAACTATAGGCAAATAGTTTCTAAAATTAATGAACCTTATATCCCATTAATCAACGCTTTCTTAAAAGACATCGAAAAATTTGAGGATGAAAATCCAAAAACAACAAAACTGGGTAAAATTGATGTTATCAATATGAAAAGAAATGACTGTTTAGCTGACATGGTAAATCAATTCCTCAGTGTCAAAGAAAATCCTTACAAAATTCCGATGGTAGAACCTTTATCAACTTTCCTTAACGAAATGGTAAATTTGAGTGGTAAACCTCGAGACGAAGTTGTTTCAATGTGGATCAAGTTATTACCAAACTAATTTTTCTTAGTTTTTAATACTTTTTACAATTGAATAAATTCTTTTCATTCGGTTTTAAAATAATTTCACTAATAAAGCTCCTTTTTCAATGCAGGGAAATACAACAAATTTTAATCCCATGGTTATTGTGTAAATCCTTTGTGTATTGTAAAGAAAAGCAAACAAGACAGAGAAATTCAACGTCATACAATAAAAAATGAATGTCAATTGCAATAAATGGCAAAGAAATAAAAATAAATGAAATACAAAGGAAAATTGATTAGAAGATGAAAGACACAAAATGAATGAATAAAAAGCAATTAATTAAGTATTAATAGAAATAGCTTCTATTCTTCCTGGATCATGGGAGACTAATCCCGTCCCTTCGTCTTCATCTTCTTCTTGTGGCTCTACGGAGTATGTTTGGTTGTGATTGAA